GATGCGTGAGCAGCATCCGGAGCTATTTGCAGAGCGAGACTTCGAGGGCGAAGTCTAGTTCTAGTGGGGGGGATTGTAACAGCCCGGATTTCCAGGTATCTTTTATTTGCATATTTTTGGTGTTTTGTGAGGGGACTCGGCGAGTTGGAGCTCGAACTCGCCGAGTAGGGTCGCGGTTCTGGACGCAGGTTCGCGCCTGTACTTGGCGAGTCCAAGGGATGGACTCGGCGAGTCCGCATTGTTTGATGAAACCCTAATTTTTCGGTCCTAAGCTCTATTTAAAGGATCTTATGGCCCTTCATTGCGGCCACCTTGATCCTTGAGAGCACCAAAGCAGCTGAGAGCTCCTGTGAGCGAGATAAGAGGCTATTGTTCACCAAATTTGTGTGTTTTTGCAAGAAAGGAAGGGGGAAAGTCAAGCTAGAAGAGTTGGGAGCTTGGATCTACTTCCATTTCGCCAAGGGAAGCTTCTTGAGGTATCTTTCAGAGCTTATTTCCGTGTTTATGTTGATATGGTCAAATCTAGGGTTTCTTCTTGCCTTATTTGCTTTGTAATTGAAGTGTGAGAGGTCCCATGGAGATATGGTACCTAGATCTGGACCTTAGCAGGTCCAGAAAGTCCCAAATGATATGCTTTATGTCCTTCCTTTTGGGTTGGAGGCTAGGGTTGCCATATTAGTGGTCATTTCTCCAAAAAGAACCTTGTAAGTGGTGCATGGTAGCCAAGACTGTAACTTTACGTGATAAATGACCTTAGGAGGGCCAGATCTATGAGTTTATAGAGCGGATCTGACCTCAGAAGCAAGTTTGAGTCGATGCATGGCATGGACTCGCCGAGTCTGAAGAACAGACTCGGCGAGTAGCATGAAGATTGTCCTTAACCACTTAGTGAGTGGTCATGCCGAGTTATGGTTGACTCAGTGAGTCACGGGGAGTTAGAGAGGGATTGTCAGGTGGACTGAGTCGAGCTGGAACTCGCCGAGTTGTCCTTGCGACTCGGCGAGTTGAGTCGCGGTGGCCCTGCGATTCATGACCAGGTGGAACTCGTCGAGTCAGGGGAGTACTCGACGTGTCTAAGGGAAATCCTTGCGAGTTGGTGAAAACGCTTAGACTCGCCGAGTCGCTCTAGTGCACTCGCCGAGTCCGGTCAAATTGACCATTGACTGTTGACCAGAGTTGACCAGTGTTGACTTGATAGGGATGGTCAACCTTAGTGGTACAAGTGTTAATTTGAGATATATGATGTTATAGGAGGATTATAGCTTGGGGGTTCGAGCACGAGTGATTTCCAGGGTTCGCGAGTTATCGAGATATTCGAGGTGAGTCTTCTCACTATACTGTACCCGGAAGGGTTTGACTGCGTGACCGGAAGGTCGAATATGATATGAGATATATGCATTATTTGTGATAAGTTAATCGTTATATGTGTCATGTATGATATGCTTGATATCGGTCGGAAGGCATTATGTTATGGGCCGGAAGGCGTTGTAAAATGAATCGTAAGGTTGACATGGGAAGGATCGGAAGGTTTACCCAGTTGGGACGGAAGTCCCCTGAGACACATAAACCGGAAGGTCAGGGCCTGGAAAGGCGTATGTGCGTAAGTTGTATTTTGGGGAACTCACTAAGCATTTATGCTTACAGTTGTTGTCTTATGTGTTTCAGGTACTAGCGAGGACCGTGGGAAGGCGCCGGCGTGATCGTACACACACTCGGGGAAAACTATTTTTGTGATCTTTGTTATGTAATCGGTCGTGACAATATTGTTACATTGGAATCTAAATTATTACTCGATGTTTTTGATGTTTGTAAAAATGAAAAATTGGTTTTAAAATTTACGTCGTTACAAAATGTTAGAAAATATCATATGTCTAAATGAAGAAGAAGAGGACATATGGCAAAAAAAACATTTATTTATTATAATAGATAATCAAATTATTAACATAAAATATAAAATATAAAACATAATTATTGTATAAAGTCATATTTTACATGTTAAATAATGCTAAACAAAAAAAGATTTTTATTATAAATAAGAAATAAGATCTTTTAAAAAAAAAGATTTTTATATGGCTTTTTCATATTTCTTTTAAATACGAAGCAAAAATAAAATGCCAAATGCATAAGAAATTAAATTATAATACTATCTTCTTTTAAATTAACAGAATTTTTCAAACTTAAAATGAAGCACAAAGATAGAGATTTTATTTAATTAATATATATATATATATATATATATATATATATATATATATATAGAGAGAGAGAGAGAGAGAGAGAGAGAGAGGTTCAATTGAGAAAATAAAAAAGGTTGAGAATGAGGGAACCATTCTCAGCCACTCATTTTATTCAACCATAAAAAGATACGGTGGTAAACTTGTAAATATGAGAACAACCTTTAATATCAAATACGTATCTGTAGTTCAAACTCATTCATCGTTCATCATCCAAATTTCTTCTCCAACTTTCAATAATCATCCAGATTTCTTTGATTAAACCATCATCAATCCATTTTTTTTGATCGGGTAAAGTCGTAAAGGGGATACGAAGCAGATGATGGCGAGAGGAAAATGAGAAGCGAATCGATGAACGAACACAACGGGCTTTGCAGCAACCCTTCGTTCACCTCCTGTCGTCGGCAGCAAAGGAGACCAAGGTGAAGATTCTCCGGTGCTCGTCTTCGTCTGATTAAGGGGGAGAAGCATGGAGGTTCGTCGCCCGACTCGCAAACCGAGATGGTCTCCGTGGCTTTGACTAGACCAAAGGAGGAGGTGTTTGGTTTTGCTAAGGGATTGCGATCGGAAATAAGCCAGAAGCGAGGGTTTGGTTTTGCTAGGAGATTGGGTCGGACGTCCGTTGCCTCTCATTTGCTTCCTGCCAGCGAGAAATGAAGAGAGGGAGGCGAGGGAAGATGGCATCGGTGTTAGTGGGTCAACAAGCCAAGGCATAAAGGGAAACCAAGGTTCCAATCGACGGAAATAGCCTAGAAGATGGTGGCTTTTGGTTGTGGTAATCGACGGGAAGTGTTGAAGGATCTCGATGGGGGCAGTTGTTGCTTTAATTGGTACGGTCCTCTTCTCGTTTCTTTTATTTTGATTGTAAATCAGTTAGGTGGGTGTTTGGGTGATCGATGTTCAACGGGTGAGTAGATGGGGGAAAAGGATTTGATCAGGTTTGGTGTGTTCATCATGAACAGATGGAGAAAGGGGTTTGACTGGAAATCAACGATAACGAAGGGAGTTTGGTTTGTTTCATTTGACAGGAAAGAAAACAGATGACAATGATTTCATGGATGTTTGTTTGCTATTGTTTAATCTTGTTTGGATAGAAATGTATGGTGTGTTTGGTTGGATCATTTGACAGGAAAGTCCGTATGTTATTCATATGTGAATAACATATAAAAATTATATATATTTGTGAAAATACATTATAATATTCATATGTGAATATACTGTGTAATATTCATATGTGAATATACTGTGTAATATTCATAAGTGAATATATCATCTAATATTCACAAATGAATATACTATATAATATTCACATGTGATATACCATGTAATACTCTGTAATATTCATATATGAAAATATTATCTAATATTCATAAGTGAATATACTATCTAATATTCACAAGTGAATATACTATGTAATATTCATAAGTGAATGCATCGTCTAATATTTAAATATGAATATACTATGTTTATTATATGTTATATTCATATATGAATGATACTTAAATTGTAAAAAATAATAATAATAATAATCATAGTTTTTATTCATAACTAAATAACGAATGCACTGTAGTAAAAACCTGATTCATTTTTATTCACTTATGAATAACGATAGCTGAAAATATATATATATATATATATATATATATATATATATATATATATATATATATATATATATATATATATATATATATATATATATATATATAAACATTACAATATAGAGATTTTTACACACATTTTCCATTACACAAAACAAAACAAAAAAAATCATTAGAATATCCGTATCACACGAGCGACCCAGTCGTAACAGCAGGCGGTTATCCCAATCTCCCAACCTCTGACCCCCTCAATTTGTCAAGAACCCTAAACCTAACCCTATATCAGAAGTCAGCTCACATGAAAGGGGAAGTTAGCAACCTTTATTGTTCGATCACCCTATCATGTCCCAAGCCGATGTCTCTTACAGGTATCTACATCGATCATGATTCGAATCTTATTCGATCACTTCTCATTTCATTTGTTTCTACACAAACTCCTGTGTCGATTGACTTGATTTTCATTTGATCACACATAATTGACTGATCTTTGTGTATCCGTATTAGTCTACTCCAGAGTTTCTTAAATTTTTTTCATTCATTTCTGTATCCGATTTGGCCAAGGTTATTTTAGGTAAAATCGTGTGATTCAAAGGTGTATTCTTGTCATTTTTGTTATTCTCTTCCAGCTTTTACTAATCTGGAACACACAACTAGGATGATTCAAAATCAATCAGTAACTTTAAATTACCTTCATTTCTATTACACACAATCAGCTTAAGCTCTGTATTTTCCTAAATTCCTATTTATTGACTGAAAATTTAGCTGATGATCATTGACCAAGAGCTAATGAGCTAATTTTTGTTTTATTTCTTTGGAACAGTTGTGGTTCATGTGGATACCCTTTGAATCTAGCATCCTCAAATCGCATAACATCTGAAATAGGCTCCAAGTATCGCAAATCCATCAGAAAAGGTTCTATATCTTTTGCATCCATTGATCTTAGTAGATTCACTCAATTTGATGAGGTATCTTGTTTTCCCATCTGTTTAAATCACCATCGTTCAAAAACAAAGCTATTATGTCGCCAATGTGGTGTTCATATAGGATACGGATATGGAGATGCACATGTTCTTCATGATACCGAATCATCCACCATATCCAACTCATATTACAAACAGATTGTAATCAAAATCCGAGCTTTACAACCTTCAGATCCTGTGTAGAAATGGAGATTAGTCTTCCTGATGATTGTTTGACTTTCATTTTTGAAAAACTTGATTCAAGTATAGATCGAGAATCTTTCGGTCTAACTTGTCATCGATTTCTTCAAATTCAAAACCCAAACCGTAAGTCATTGGAATTCGGATGTTCATTCTCTCGATCTAACCTTTCTGAAACCCCAATCAACATCGATTCCTTCATTCTTGATAAGTTAATCAAACGTTTTACACAATTAAACTCATTAAACTTATGTGGGTGTGTAAATCTTCAAGATTCCGGTCTAATCCAACTCATAAACCACGGATCAAAACTACACACTCTCTATCTCGATTGCTGCTTCAAAATCACCGATTCAGGACTTTCCCATATTGCCCTCGGGTGTCAATCTTTATCCTTCATTAGTCTTTATCGTTGCCCTATAACCGATATCGGATTACAACACTTATCCAAATCTTGTTCATCTCTAAAAGACATAAATCTTGAATGGTGTTCCCAAATAACCGATGGTGGAATCTCCGCCATCACCACCAACTGCCGCCACCTTCGGGCAGTCAAGATTTCCCATTGTGACAAAATAAAAGGAGTCGGATTCAACGGGTGTTCTAAAACCCTAGCTTGTTTGGAAGCCGATTCTTGCAAGATTGAGCCCGAGGGCATTTTGGGTATTTTGAGTGGTGGCGGGCTAGAGTACCTAAACGTATCTTGTCTTAGTTGGTGTATCCGGGGCGATGGGTTAAGATCAATTGGTGGTGGATTTGGGAAGAATATTAGGGTTCTTGATTTTAGGGTTTGTCGAAGTGTTGGTGATGAGACTGTGATTGAGATTGCAAAAGGGTGTCCAATGTTGCAAGAGTGGAATTTGTCTTTGTGTAGTGAGATTGGGGTTTTGGGGTGGGAGTCGATTGGAGGGTATTGTGGTAATTTGTAAAAGCTTCATGTGAATGGGTGTCGGGGGTTTTGTGATCGAGGGTTGTTGGGTTTAAGGAATGGGTGTAAACGGTTGTTGATTTTGTATGTTTCTAGATGTCGACAGGTTAGTGAGTTGGGGATTGAGTTGTTTAAGGTTGCGAGGTGGGATGTGGAAATTAAGGTTGAAGAAGTTATGTGTATCATGCCGAAACATTTCTTTAGATGATGGTTTTAAATCGAAATGTGGATAGGACATATATCATTGATGTTAATTTATGTTATTTTGAAGTGTAATTGGTTAAATTTGATTTGAGTGATGTTTGTGTAATGCTATGATGAGAACTTGGCTAAGGCATTTTCCATATAACAGCAATGAATATTTTCATGCTTGAGATGCATCTTTTTGACTTAATGAAGTTAATGAGAAGAGTAATAAACTTGACTGTAGCTTTTTTTTAAATATATAAAAATAGGCCTAGCGGATTAAATGAGAATACTGTACATTTATCCATTAAGAACATTTGTATTCTTTTTATTTTATTTTTCTAAAACCTATTTCAATCATATTATCTTCTCTATTCTTCACCTATTTCAATCATATTATCTTCTCTATTCTTCCCTAAGAATCACTCTTTTTTATCTGAAGTCATTTTTTAAAATATATATATGAGACAATCAATCAAAATTATATACAATTGTTATGACAAATCACTTCCAATTTCAAAAGTTAGTTAATAAAATAACTTCGTGATTAACATGTGCAGTAAAAAAGGTAATGTAATTATTTTTAAAAGTTAAAGTTTGAACTTGATCAATTTACCCTTTCAATAAGTTACTATGATGCCATAGATAAATAATAGGAAACCAGCAATTAGACCGGAGGGCATGATCTGGGAGTTTCCTTTATTTTTTGTGGGCTACACCATTTTACCATTTTTTTCCCTCATTTTTCTTTTTCACCTAAAACCCAAGAAATGGGTGGGAAACTTTCTTCACTATTTTTTTATTTTTTTAAAAAAAAAATATTTCCTATATATATTATACTCATTTTGTAGGGAATTAAAATATGAGTTTTGATATATTTTTTTATAATTTTTAGTAAGTATATAATTTAATAAATATTTTAAAAAAAAGTTAGCCAATAAAAAGAGAAGAGAGAGTGAGGGAATGGGCTCCCTCGCCTCTTTACCTCACCACATTTCCCTCATTCAATGATGAGCTGAGAGGAAAAGCTTTCATCACTCTTTTCGTCATCCATACCCTCCAGGTTGTTAAAAGAAATTTTTTTTTTTTCAGTTTTTGAAAAATAATCATCCGTGATGTCTCACTCCGAACTATTGATTATATTCATATTTCAAATGCTTCGTTCCCGATTTGATCTTTAATTTTAGAATTTTTTTATTTCTTTTAGAGAAATGTCCATACTTACGTCAAAAATGTATGTTTCAAAGTGTAGGCACTATATAGTTTGCATTACTATATCTTTTTAACTTTTTGTTAAATTCAAGTAAAAACTGAATTTTTTTTTCTCAAAATTCTGAAATTGTTCATTGAAGTTGTTCTTTGAAACTCCAGATTTTTTTTTCAAAATCCAGGATTTCAATCTAGACTCTAGAATGTTGGTCCAAAATGTAATTTTTTTTTTTTTTGTCAAATAATGTTATTTTCTTGGTGCGACCCATTCACCTAAAGGACTTCATTAATAACAATAGAATAAAACAGGACAAACATACCAACACAGAAGGATTAACTTCAGTCTTCAAACATGCAATTGCAAACCTCAAACTTCCACAATGCCTAAAAAAACACCATCATCAAACCATCCAAGAAAATAGCTTGAAATCTCATGTTACACTCTTATTCTCCTTTATCAGGAAAGATCTTTCAATACAATATTACAACATAAGCAAGAGATACATATAAATAAAATAAAATAAAAAGATTATTTCACGAAAAGATCATTTCCAAATACTGAAAAAACCTATCTATACACATGCAATTCCCTCACCTTTTCATCTGTAATCCTTAATCTCATACAGACATACACCTTCTTTCTTCTGTTTGTTTTGTTGATTGAAATGAAACGTACTCAATTACGAGCATCATTTCCCCATACACCATCCCAACCACCAGCTGGTGCACCCTTGGGTCCCTCAATTTGTTGACCATGTTGACCATGCGGTCCAGGCGGTTGAATCTTGTTCGGCTTTGTTTTCACACCCAAGATTCGAAATACAAATCTAGCCAACTCCCCGTATAATAATCCTGACCGGTCAAACAACTGCCATGACAGAACAGGTTGTACTGAGTACAGAACAAAACATAACATGACAGAACAGGTTGTAAATGGACTGAGACTGATGTCAATGAAACAAAAATAATACCTGAAGAAGGGCTGACATGAACATATGGAACGCCTGGGCATTTTGGTCAATTAACATCGCAACTCTACCAAAGAAAGTTACAAATCCTTGCATCTAGAAACATGAAATTAAAATTAAAAAATAAAAAGATTTATATCCTAAGATGATTAAATTAAAGCATTCTCAGTATTATTATCCGACTTACCACACGCATTAAAGAAATCCAAAATCCAGGAGGTTGTGAAGGAGCACCAAATGGATTATTTGGATCCTGGTCATCATATGGGCCACCTGGACCACCCATGCCCATACCCATACCCATACCCATGCCACCCATTCCCATCCCCATACCCATGCCACCCATTCCTCCACCATAACTACTACCATACATTCCTCCACCATACATGCTGCTACCACCACCATAAAGACCACCATACCCTCCTCCTCTATACATGCTGTTTCCATATAAACCACCACTATTATAAGAAGAACCCATTCCACCATATGAACCATAACCTCCGGCTCCTAACCCAGAATTGTAACCTAAACTTGACCCATAACCCGCACCTGAGATGTAACAAAAAACAGTGTAAAGTGATATTAGAAATGGGAAATGTCAATCTTGCTTCCTAGATGAAAATTTGTTATTAATTTGGTTATGAATGTACCTCCATAGGTTTGTTGTTGTTCCCATGGTCTAGGGGGAACAGGTCTTCCGAGTGTATTGACTGCTGACGTTGTATTGTTTGATTGAACGATTTCACCTGGTCTTGCTGTTCCAGAAGCTTCGACTACATCACTTGTGCTACCTGGAGTTGCAGGTTTAAAAGGAGCAGGACCAGATGATGATGATCCGGCTCGTTCCCATGGTTTAGGAGGTGGACCGCTGCCTGAATTCAAAAGAGAAATTCTCAATGATGAATGAAATTTGTTTATCAAGTTGCGTCAATAACTACATGACCAAAAATTTTAATCAAAAGGAAGAAGTGAATTCTGTTTGAACAATACGAATTCAGTAGGTAGTAATAACAAAATCAAAATATTAGCTCTATCGGTATCAAATCAATGGTTTTAAACTAACAAAACCCTAGAAAGAAGCGCCAACTTTGGGATCGATTAAACTCGACATAGAAAACCCTCGGCTAGCTAAAATTCCTCACGAATTCAACGGAAAGTGATGATAAATCCCAGATCAATCAATTCAAAACGGTTAAAAACCCTAGCATAAAGCCCCATATTACGGATCGATTAAACTACAAGGAACTACAAAACAATTATATGATTATATCAAGATCTAGCGAAAGAAAACCTGATTGTTGCGAATTATTGGTAGCCATGGCAGGGAGAGAGTCGCTGCCCGAAACCCCACCACCGAGTTGGGATAAAGAGAGAGAAACCCTTCAATATAGCAGTCGCAAGGTCCAAATTGATGTTCGTTGTATATTCGATGGGTTTTATGAACTTTATCCCTTCATGATGATTCTTATCAGTCCGAATTTTTTTTGGGTTCTGTAATAATTGTTATCTTTCCGCCATTTGTGATTTTACTATTTTGCCCCTCTTTTTGGGGGCGAGGGGCTGATAGACGTGTGGGCCCAACCAGTCAAACTAAAGTCCATACTCGTTAAAGGCAGACCGGGTCCAAATTCCACGAACTTTTACATATGCATTAGGTGACTATGGATTATTATATCAAATCCAAATACCCCACTAATAGCATTAGATATATGGCTCTTGCCACCTCAACCTTAACACCATATAGAAAATGGTATTTCTATGTCATAACATGTTAGAGAGAGAAAAGAAAATGAGAATGATGATTGATTGATTTCTCCTGTTAATGTATGTGTCGTTACCATAGCATCATTTGTGTAACATTCAATATCAGGTACATGTCAAATTATAGCTAAAAAACCAAAATATTTGCATTTATAGTCCCTATGCATGACCTAAGTTGGAGCTACACCTCGCGTAGCTCATTTAAATTGGTCGTGACTTCGGATAGGTATGCAGGGCGTATTCGTGAAAAGTTTAAACCCTAATTTTTGGGTTTGGACCCTATTTAAATGACTTTATGGCTTCAAACCTTTCCTTACCTCCAACCTCCATCCCTCTTAACCTTCATCTCGAAACCCTAATTCTTGTGTGCAAGTTTTGAAGCTTTTTAGTGATATTTTGGTGTTCTTAGTGGTGAAGGAAAACCTTTGAAGTTGTAGTGTTGCTTTCAAGCTTGTGTGTGACAACCCGAAAATCTTTGCCTTGTAAGTTCAGCCATTCAATCCAACAGCGTGTCAAACTTGTTTCTGCTATCTTTTAGCCTTGTTTAGAGTCTGTTTAAGGGTTCAAAGCTCAGTACATTCAAGCATTGGGTATAGGATCGAGTTGCATAAGTTGTTCACCTTGAAATTAAGCCATACACTCCATGTGAGGGAGTGTACGTCCGTACACATGAGTGCGCGCTCGTACACATGTGTGTGCGGTCGTACACCCATGTTGGTCGCACACCCCCCCCTTCATAAGTGTGATATCCCCTCATTTCTAATCCATTCCATTAGTTTCCAGGTCAAGAACATCGAGTTTTCTCTCAACTATCATCACATTTCTCATCTTGATCTTCAAAAGTGGTAAGTGATTCTTCCATCTTTCTTGATATCCTTCCTAGTCTTGTAATCATCTCACGATTCATCCATGAAAACATCTCTTTTATGATAGATCTTTAAATCTTCATCTATTTCAACAAGAACACACACTTGTTCTTGGTGATTGTGAACCCTTTTGAGCTTCCAAATCGTAAGTACTCTTTCCTTATGCTTAGTACATGTTAGGAACACTTGATTATGTAACGACCCGTCTCTGGTATGTTGCTTTTAGTAGTTATTTTTGAAGTT